TTTTTCTTCATGAGATTCCTGTTATGTATGTTTTATTTTCCATGTCTTTGATACGCCTTTTTTATTGTTACAATCGAACTTGATATTATCATTGTAAATTGCACTGAATTCAGAAGTAAGGGTGCCATGTACAAGGTTATATACCATAATAAATAAATGAATAAATAAATAAAAACATAGCGAACGAAAAAGTTGTGTTTTTCTGTGAACTATGAAAACTGGATTCACCATCTTTTGGAAAGTAATTCTTTTCTGAAAACTATTTCCCGCTTTCTCTATATCTCCTTTTTTTTTTTTACACTTACGTACAATGAACAGTTGAAATGTGTCTCTTTTACATGTCAACAACCGTAGTTTTCACAAATAATTTGTGTTTCTTTTAAACAGAATGTTACCAGCATTTCTCGACGTCGTTGCCGCCAGAATCGTCTCCCCATTGTCAAGAAAAAGAGAAAACAAGTAGATTATCAGCAGATGAAGAATGTTTTCGGCAGGTACATTCTGTCATCTACAAATGTTTCGAGTGAAACAGCGTCGTCTGTATGGGGAACGATTTCGAGGGAAATTAATTGGTTTAATACTGAGTCTAACCGAAAGTATTTAAAATTCATATGGAGAGAAAACAGAGGTGGGGTAAGGGAACATACACAACGAATATGGAATAATTGTAACATTAATGAATACACAGTTAAAGACCATGGGACGACCAGTATGGAAGACAAAGTAGCTGATGAAGTAGAGGCGCAGGCCGAACAGGATTGGAATGTTGGAATGTCCATCGAAAATGAACCCACTGATCAAGACCAAATCAAGACCAAGTCAAGACCACTGATCAAGACCCCAAGAACACGCAAAAGTGGGAGAAACTTGAAACCCAAGAGGTTTTCAAGGGGTTGGGAAACCAGCACAATTTGCGTTTGCCAGCGAACTTGGAAAGGCAGTGCTATACGACCATCGGTAGAATGTGAATTGTGCCACGAATGGTACCACTTTGACTGTATAGATCTAGCGAGCTACGCTAACATAGACATGGATCAATATTATTTTTATTGTGGCTTCAGGGGGTGCAATGATGGGGAGAAAGTGCTTAGAAGAAAGAAGACCCTGTTGCCCGACAATGCTGATGAGCCCCAATGCATCCTTGCAGATCAGGATAACGGGGGCGATCAGGACAGTACGAACAATTCAACCTTCCATGAATATATAGATGATGGTCAAGATGAGACTGCTAGGTTCGACGAAGAAGTCCTCGAGAGTGACAGAAGTAAGGATGAGGATGAAAGTAGTAAAAGTTCAACCTTTCATGAGGATATAGATGATGGTCAAGATGAAACGACTAGGTTCGACGAAGAAGTCCTCGATGAGAGTGACAGAAGTGAGGATGAGGATGACAGTAGTGAAAGTTCAACCTTTCATGAGGATATAGATGATGGTCAAGACGAGACGACTAGGTTCGACGAAGAGGTCCTCGATGAGAGTGAAAGAAGTAAGGATGAGGATGACAGTAGTAAAAGTTCAACCTTTCATGAGGATGTAGATGATGGTCAAGATGAGACGACTAGGTTCGACGAAGAAGTCCTCGATGAGAGTGACAGAAGTGAGGATGAGGATGACTGTAGTGAAAGTTCAACCTTTCATGAGGATATAGATGATGGTCAAGACGAGACGACTAGGTTCGACGAAGAGGTCCTCGATGAGAGTGAAAGAAGTAAGGATGAGGATGACAGTAGTAAAAGTTCAACCTTTCATGAGGATGTAGATGATGGTCAAGACGAGACGACTAGGTTCAGCGAAGAAGTCCTCGATGAGGGTGACAGAAGTGAGGATGAGGATGACAGTAGTGAAAGTTCAACCTTTCATGAGGATATAGATGATGGTCAAGACGAGACGACTAGGTTCGACGAAGAAGTCCTCGATGAGGGTGACAGAAGTGAGGATGAGGATGACAGTAATAAAAGTTCTACTTTCCATGAAGATATAGATGATGGTAAATCAGACACATCACTGGGATCATTCCTTAAAAGTGTGCCGATTGACAAAGCCACTATAGGTGCTTGCATTGGAGAAGTGGTAGGTGATAGTGTAGTAAAAGAGTTTCGCATTCAGAGAAAGGCAACCTTTTGCATACGCAAAGAACAGTGGACGAAAATGTGTAAAACTGTAAGGACGAGGTACTTCAAGAAGGGACAGTGGCACGAGCCATTCATTAAAGGGATAAAACAATCAAATCCGTATTGTGTCTTAATGATAAGACGTCACCATGTGAGCACAGCCAAACAAAGATTCCATCGTGGCAAATCAATACTGAATGCAGATCTTTACTGCAAGTTCGAAGATTGCCCCATCACTGCCAAACTGACCATGGACGGGAAGTTTAATGCTAGAGTTACGTATAGTCACGACGTCGTAATGCACCATTTAGGGGAGCAACGTGCAAGACCTATTCGTGGGACTGAGAGAGAGCATTTGAAAGGAATCTTCAGCCATGGCCAAAAGCCATTCAATGAATACCTCAGACGACTTGGAAAAAAGGATCCTGCTCACGTAGTCTTGGCTGGAAATTTCGATGGGATTGGGACAACCAAACAGGTACTCCGTCAAGTGTCGCATGAAGCTGGGACATCAAGAATCCTCGACAAGGATGAGCTCACGAGTCTCCACCTATTGAAGAGTAAGATGGAGACTCAGACAAAGAACAAGAAAGTAAAAGGCTTCATACAACTAATAGCGGCATCACCCTCCTTCGTATTTTACTGGAGCGAGGAAGGTGTACGGTTGTGGCATGACCTTTGCAAGAAGGATGTGGCCGTAATAGACGCAACCGGCAACGTTGTGCGCTCGGCAGGGAAGAAAAGGTACCTCTACTATGAGGTGTGCATAAGGAACACTGTAGAAGGAGAATCCCCCATACCTATCATGGGTATGCTCAGCACAGTCCACACTGCAACCGTCATACGCTTCTGGATAGCTGAATTCAGACGATGTGAGAAGCTTCTGTTTGGGCATCAAGGGGTTTCTATTCCCCGTCAAATGAATATGGATAGAGCCATGGCTTTCATTGTTGCACTACTGGCCGAATTCAACAATGAGTCTGTCAAGGAGTTCCTGGATCGCTGCTGGCGTATCGTGTCTGGCAATGCACTGGATAATGACATAGAGCAAAAGATGATCCCCCATGCCTGTGCCTTCCATGTGATGAGGGATGCAAAGAAATCATGCAAGAAGTACTATCCAGGAAATATGGAGTACGGATTGTACTCCTTCAGCACTATCCTCAATGCATGTACCCTAGATGAAGTTGAAGAAGCCCTATTCGACATGGCTGTGGTATTGCAAGGCAGAAAACTAACACCAGAAGTGATTGAAGCGAGTGAGAGAATGCATCAAAGGATCAGTGATCTTTCGAAGGAAAGTAAAGACAAACTGAAAGATGATCATGTGTACAAAGCAAGTACAGAGGCCAGTGAAGATGGAATTTCCTCAATGAACAAAACTGAAGAAGAGTTTTTTCATCTCGCCGAAGGCTCGCACTTCAGGAGCTGGGCTAAAAGAATCATTGAGCGTGCGAAGCTGAGCATTACACAGGGTGATAACACAATGGAAGACAACGGAAGATATGGACCCAGATTTCTGGAAGACATACATAGGCTCCTGTTGCCTACACTCCCGCTCTGGTCTGCCATTATGCTTGGAGACCTTGGTAGACATGGTAGCTCGGCCCCATATGAGAGACACAAATTAACTCCAGGAATAAGGTCACCATCTAAAACAACCAGTGTGCAGGAGGGACGTTTCAATCAGCTTAAAACGGTGATTCTCCAGGGAAAATCACGGAATCGTGTCGACGTTTTCTCAGAGAAGTTGAGGGAGACTACAAAGGCGGCTCAGACTCTCGCTCTCAGAGATGCAGTTAAGAAGAAGACAAAGAGAGCTAGGGGAAAGAAGACACATCTAATCGAAGAATCATGGGACAAAAAGGTTCGCGAACCTGATCATCTGCGAGACAAAAAACATGGAAAGTATCAGCAGACCCCGACTAAGCCCATACCAGTCACCAAACCAGCGAGAACCAAGTCAGGTGCCAGAAATGATGAGGGGACGAAGTTTAACAAACGAAAAGGTACGCAAATGAGCGAGGGCGACGACACTCCTCCAAAGAGGAAAGAATATGAAAGCAAGGACTACGAGCAGCCAAAACGTTCTTCCCATTCAGTACCTGACCTTGACAAAGGAGACGATGCTGACGTTCCAGTCACCAAACCCGCGAGAACCAAGTCAGGTGACAGAAATGATGAGGGGAAGAAGCATAATAAACGAAGAGGTACCTCAAGGAGCGAGGGCGAAGACATCCCCCCAAAGGAGAGGAAAGACTACAAAAGGAAGGACTACGAGAAGCGAAAACGTTCTATTCATTCAGTACCTGACCTTGACAAAGGAGATGATCATGACGTACCAGTCACCAAGCCCACGAGAACCAAGTCAGGTGCCAGAAATGATGAGGGGACGAAGCATAACAAACGAAGAGGTACCTCAAGGAGCGAGGGCGACGACATACCCCAAAGAAGAGGAAAGAATGTGAAAGAAAGGACTACGAGCAGCTAAAACGTTCTTTCCATTCAATACCTGACCTTGACAAGGGAAAATATGATGACATCCAGACACGGAGAAAGAGGCAAACAAGGACGAGTCATGGAACACAGCGTTATCGCCCCCTTTCAAATTTCCAAAGCAACTGTTGGCTCAATGCAATTATACAATCACTGATTTCAACAAACGCTGCAGATGCTCTCATACATGCACCCGATGAATCGTGGACGAATCGCCAGCACATGGAAATCATCCAATTCCTCCGGAAATACAAGACTAATGACGTCATCCTAGAGGAGGACATCGAAATGCTTTCGCGAGTACTCTGCCTGCCAGCAACTAGACACAAAGGACTCATTTATGGGCGGCAAAATGACGCACATGAGTTAATATCGCAGCATGTTGGGCCTATGATGTCAAATATCGGACTTAATACGTTTGAAGTGGAACAGTGTGTAGCATGCACAAATTGCTTTGAAAGAACATTAAGTAGGAGACATGAGTTCACAGAAATCATTGTACCGGTACTGCATGACTGGGACAATATCAGTTTGCAGAACGAGGTGGACAGAGTTACGAGGTATCCTGATCTCATAGAAGGGGGAACACCGTGTGACAAGTGCCATAATATTGGTCTACGGGTAACACAGAAGGAGATGAAGACTGTCCCTCAGTTTCTGATGTTTGTCATGCAGAGGAATCAGGGACGAGGAAAAATGCTGGCACCGGTGGAACCCCCTGATGAGATAGTCATGACCTATTCTGGAGGAGCTGGTAATACCGAGAAGACGTGCCTTTTCCAGTTAAAGTCGGTAGTTGTACACAAAGGAGACACGTGTGACCAAGGGCACTATGTAACGATGGTGAGAGAACCCGCAGCAGAGAGTGGGTGGATAATTTGTGATGACCATATCATAGAAACAGCACGACCTGAAGACATATCTGCAGTCTATGATCAGTGCTACATGATCATCTACGAACGCATGGCAGTAGTACGAACGGACACAGGAGATTCAACCAACCGTCAGATACCAGTTCCAGGTAGTGGAACAGAGTTCTCGACATCAGAACAGCAGTTCTTTCATACCACAACCCCGACTGAGAGAGCGGATCACAAGAAACGACAGCGACGTAAATGTAAAAAAAGAAAAGAGTCTGCGATGAGAGATGACGTCATAGAGGCAATCAAATTGAACTGCCGAAAGAAACCAAATGCTGTCATGAGGCAAGTAAATAAAATTGCCATAAAGTACAGGGATATGCAGACACTGCTTGGCAGAAACTGGTTGAATGATGTCATCATAAACGGCTACCTTGAGATGATAGATTTGAAGTCGAGGAATGACGATGGTCAACCAAGAATATACCCTTTCTTCAGCCAATGGTACCAACAAGTAAATTCGAGAGGCGAGACGTCACTGCGCAGAATGGCAAGGCTCATTGATCTCGCAGAATGCGACTGGTTGCTCTTTCCAGTAAACACAGGTGTCCACTGGTACCTAATCGCCATTAACCCGAAGGAGAAGATGGTGGTATCGCTTGATTCGCTTCAAGGTGACAATGCCACAGAGATTGTTCTGGCAGTGCAAGTTGTAAGAAGCCTATGGAAAGAGAAATATGGCTTGTCATTTGACTGTCAAATGATGGTAGTACCGACTCCACGTCAGCACAACTCGGATGACTGTGGGGTGTACCTGTGTTACTTTGCGTATTACCTTAGTGTGGAAAAGGATGTTCGACGAATGCGGGATATAGATTCGAAGAAGTACAGACATACTATGATCCATAACCTGTATAGAGGTTCTTTCACGTGCTAGTTTTTAATAATGGCACCCATAGTCTCGCTTTGCTACACATGCGGGAAAACAACAACCAGTCGTATTCTGCGAAATCAATGTTCATTGCAATTCTCAACTACTCAACACTGACGTCTCACCTCTCAAATGTATTTTTTTCTTCTTGTGGGGTGAAAATCTCAGTAAGGGAGATAAAATATTATTCGCAAAAAAATGGGGTACAATCAAGTATGATGAGTAACGTCGTATTGGTGCATATTTATATTTTTAACAATACATACACGTAGGTTGTACTTATTAACCAGATAACAACTGGCAAGAGATTTGGAAGGTTTGGTAAATTATTAATAGGACCAAGGGTAAAAATTCAAATTATTATTTTTATTCTAATTTTTGTCAGGGTTGGCAAGGCCATTCACCGATAGCATAAAGGTCTTACCCTGAGTAAAACACAATATATCAATTTTTCAACATATTTACAGAAAGGTGGTAAAAGGCATATGTAGAAGACTGTGATGTTCAATATGGCTATCGCACTGATCACTCAGCCATCAGTATCAATATAAATCGCACAGTCAAAAGGAGAGGTCCACTTTTCTGGAAACTGAACACCTTAATAGCGATGCAAGCACACAATTATTAGTAACTACTCTACAAGAAAATGCGAGTGTGAATGTAGGCCTATGGAGTGTATGGGAATATGTCAAGTTAAAAATGAATGAATTAGACTCTGCACCAGATAAAAGAAGCTTTAAATAACAGAAGATTTTTTTTTCTGATATATATGATACGTTATGATACGAACTCGAGAGACTGTCACCGAACAAGAATGTTTAGAAGCGATTCAACCTACGACATGACTGTGACAAATCACCAGGTTTAGACGGCCTGTCCGACATTTTTTTTATCGGATTTTCTGGTACGCTATCATAGATATCTTATGCAAGGTCTGTAATGAGTGTTTTTTTTTAAGAACTTTGCTTCTCCATAGGGCTAATTATGTCCACGAAAAGATAAATAATAACCCTTCTTCCACCAAAAGATAAAAATCAATTAAATCTAAAGAACTGGTGGTCTATATCTTTATCATTTTAGCGAAAATTCTTGACAATAGGCTCAAACATGTTTTGAAATCAATCATAAGTTGTGACCAGACGGGGTTCATAAAAAGAGAGACACTGGTGAAAATACCAGATTATTCATAGATGTTATTGAATATTGTAAGAAGAATTGTGTGCCAGGTTTACCCTTCAATCAAATTTGAAAAAAAGCGTTTGATTTATTGCCTGGATGGATTTTATGTCCACAAATATTTCCAGTTGTGTTTCGAATAATGGCTATTCGTCACAACCATTTCAGATACAAGAGGTGTGAGACAGGGCTGTCGCCCTATTTTTTTTTTTAGATTGAGGCTGAAGTTGTTAGTTTTATGGTGAAACAAAGTACTTTGATAAGAGTAATTGATATAGACGGGAGTGAAATTAGAGTTGGTCAATACGCATTATATATCTGTCTGCCGTTGAATTAAATCTTAGGAGAGGCTTCGATATTTTAGCCTTGTTTATAAACATTATTTTTTAGGGTTGAAGGTAAATGCTGAGAAAAAGTAATATTGTCTGATTAGGGCCTTATCAGATTACTTTTACTATCTTGGAATTTATATACCGCTAAGTGAGGATTACAACTTTCATAACTTGTATTTCAAGGCGAAGGTAAATGAAACAGATAGGTTAAATAAACTAAAAGTTTGGAGCTCGCATTATCTGTCTCTACTCAGTAAGATCACCGTAATACCAATTTTTTTAATTATCTTTTAGCATTATTCAAGATCCATCAAATTTCTTTTTCGAATTACTACAGAAGAAGAGTTTTAAGGAATGGTAAAACTGATTGGATTAAGCGAAGGGTAATTATAACATTTATATCGACGGTAGATGAAATATGCTGCATGTAAAAACATTTTTGTTTTTCCCTCAAAATTACATGCGTGTAAAGAATTTTTGTACAAGACCGACATTGTTAGTGGAAAATGCTTGCGAAACATTTATTTGTTTCGAAAAGAATGGTGACACGTTTGTGTTTGACGGTAATTTACGTATGAAGGATGTGACAAACATCTCATCTAGTTCTTTTTGGGCAGATGTAGTACTCAAAGCCTGGACACTACAATCCAGTTAAATATAAAGAAATTTTAGCTCAGCCAATTTGGAACTACTCGTTCATAAATATAGCAGGAAAATTTGTTTTCTACAAAATATGGTATAACGCTGGTAGTGTAAGTGTTCAAGACTATAAGAAAAAATGAAAATTTCAAAAAGTTTATTTTGAAGTTTGTAAAGACTATAATACAAATGTGTTACGTTCTCTCGATCTTTTTGTCATTGGGCCGTATGCATAAAAGTAAGTAATTGCTTTTACTACGATTTTTACTTTTCAAAAACTCAACTGAGATGGCGTAGTCCTAAATATTCATATTTTGAATGATAGCGCCGTAAAAACTAAAAACAACTACAACTTATACATTTTATTTTTCGAACCAGATGTAAAAACTGTGATATATATATTTTACTCAGATTAAATCAGAAATTACATATTTGGTAAAAGTAGAAAACGTTATTGCTTTTTCTCAAGTCCAGTGCTAGTCCAGTGGGGGGGGGGGGTGTTTTTCTCCCCACATTGATTCTTGATACTTCTATTGTAATTACACTAGGCTCATTTATTTACTTTCATGCAGATGATGTTGTATCTATTTTCATGAGGTTTTGTAAATTCGTGTTATCAAATGCATAGGGTAAGTGATAAAAAAAAAACACTATACAACAAACAAAAAAGTATTCAACATATTTACAGAAAGGTGGAAAAGAACATTTATAGATATGAAATAAATACCATCATCACCATGAGCATTTCAACGAGTAAAGTAACTGTTATAGATGGGTACTTCAGTTTTATTTGGTTATAGTGCATTCAATCAATGGAATATAGAAACTACATTTCAAATAGATCAATAATGGAAGCTGTTTTCATCGACCATTCCATCTTGTTCAGTTCAAGTAGGCGTATATATATGATAAACTTTTAGTCTATACTTATATCAATCACTGTGAAATCTGAATACCCCAACCGAAGTGAATAAAAACATAGGCCTACATCGATGAAAAGCTAAATAGATATATCGAATATGAATAATCACAAATCAAGCTAATTTTCCTTTCAGTTTTCATGAAAAGGAGATCGAAATTTACCTCCCAAATACTAAAAAAAAAAGCTGTTAATTTCTTGACGTCATTCATTGTAGACCTTTTCAGCTCGTGCTTACAGCCAGCCAGATTAGCTCGCTCGAAAATGCAACGTCGTGACTTTGATGATAACGAAAGAATATTGTTACTGGCATGTTCAAATACTATGTATACTTTTAAACAAAGGTTGTTCTTGACAAACTGATTGCTTGCTAGATATACCAACAAGTAATGTATACAAACTGGATTCAAAGTCTTGTATTTCATTGTTTAATAACAGGTTAATTGAATTCCTTGTTACTAAGTCCCCAGGAAGAAACATTCATAAATTTGAATAACATAGTAAACGAACTATTCTTGGCGAATCTAACTTTTCTACATGCAAAGGCATGCAAACCAAAGCATGCACACATGCATTATCACCCAGATGATCGGCTTTACTATTTAATATAATATATGTCGTCATCCACCACGCAGCAATTCAGGCCCGTTTGGAAGGGGATAAAAAAACAAACATTTCGAAGCTCTCGAGTTCGAGTATTTCGAAAGCAAATACTCTCTCCTGGTATTCAAGGAAAACGCATGCAGTTTGTATTGCGGTATTCTGTAGCTTATGGGCTTTTCATTGATGTGTAATTTGTCTATTTCATTTTTCACTTTGGTTGGGATCTTTAAACATCAACTCTATGTTTTCCTTTTGATGGATATTCCGTCAAAAGGCCAATAAGTTTGTAGAATATTCTCATTTGCACTATCGTTGATATATTTTTCTTTCTTTCAAGACAAAATTATCAATTAACTATGCCTCTCTGTTAAAAGCAATATGTGAACATTCCATACACTATGATTCTTCTCCCATCAATTGTATTCCTTAGAAGGGACATTGTGTCCACATATGTATACCTGTGTAAATTACATAATAGGCCATAACACCACATTCACACTTTCCTCAATGAAACATTCTAATAAAGTTTGTTCTAACAGTATTCCATTTGGAATATTTTGTTGTTAAGGGGGTATCTCAGTGAGCGACGAATGTTTGCGAACTTTTCCTTACATACATACATACATACAATTGTCTTTTATATAGCGCAACATCCAACGAATTGCTCGAAGCGCTTTACATAGTAATACCAGCGGGAAATGCTTGCGAACGTAGCGAATTTGGAAGGTTCGTTACAGTTCATCAGGGTTCGTAAAGAGTTGCAAAAAGTTTTTACTGTCGCAAAGAAACATACGATTTCAGGCCCATAACTAGGCGAGGTTCTGGGAGGTTCGAACGACCCCCCTCCCCTCTCCCCCGCTGGCGAGCAGGGTCAGCTTGAAGAAAAAAAATAAAGAAAGAAACAAGCTTAAAATACCCTCGCTCGCATGTTCTTAATTTTAGGCATGTTATCATTTTCATCTCTACAATTAAATCATATCATTTTACAGAAATTTTTACGCTCCCGCCTCGTGCTCGCCTGTTTGTATGCTTTTTGTTTTGTTTTTTAAAGCGAGGTTATCATCATTTTTAGAAGGAATTAAAAATGAAGTTAGAAGTCTGAAGGAACCCCCCCCCCCCCCCCGCTTGAACAAAAAACAACAACCAAGAAATAAAGACAAACAAATTAAAATACCCTGGTTTCAGGTTCCTAGGTAAATTTTTGCTCGCGCTTCGCACTCGCATGTCCTTATTTTTTTAGGCATGTTATCATTTTCAGAAGGATTTACAATAAAATCTAATCATTTTACAGGAGTTCTTTACGCTCGCCTGTTTGTTTGCTTTTTAAAATTTTTAAA